CCGGGGTGGAAAGTTGGAATGACCAGCCGCCTGGAGCTCCTGTCCAGCTCGGAAACAAAGTGGGTGTGAATAGGCCCCTGAGGCAGCCATAACATACCGGGGTCACCCTTCTCCCAGGGGGGGCACCCTTTAGACAGCTCCCAACTCTATCTTGGCAAGGAGGAGGCTCAACATCAGCTCACAAGCTGATCTCCCCGTGTGGCGCTGACTTTAAATGTCCCTTCAGCATGCAAGTCCTGCAGCTTGACTTCTGAGAATATTATGGGATGGTACCTTGTTTAGTCAACAAGTATTCACAGAGCACTTATTATATACCTTGAACCTGTCCCAAGCATTTTCTTAACATATGAACTTGTTCCACCTTTACAACAACCTTTCAAAGAAGTAGTTATTATCCTCATTTTAGCAATAATTTCTTTTTTCTTTGTTTTTGTCGGTCATAGGGCTTGAACTCTGGGCCTGGGCGCTGTCCCTCAGCTCTTCAGCTCAAGGCTAGCCTCTATCACTTGAGCCACAGCACCACTTCTCAGAAATTTCTTAATAGCTACTTTGTGACAAGTGGGATTTGCATCAAGACTCCTCACCCTTAACCCTATATAGTCATGTGCTACATTGTTGCAAGCGGCACAGGACTTGTTGATTGTAACAAAGTATCTCACTTCACTACTTTTTAAGTGTTCTCTGGGTTTGGACTACATTGTGTCCAAAGCACACAGATAAACAAGAAGCAGAACTTACTTGAGTTTTGGGTACCTAATTCAATGGTGATGAGACAAAAGGGGGAGATAAGAGAAAGGCATTGGGTAGAACAGTAATTAATTCACTATCCCCACCCCCCACCCACCCTCCTCCACCCCCAACACGCACACAAAAAGACCCCGCCCAGCGACCTTCCTGAGCTGGCCCACATGCAGGTAAATTAAGCATTTAGGGTCAGGCCACATCCATCAGTCACTATCTGTATCTCAAACCTGTAATCCTTGCTATTCAGGAGGCTGCGATCAGAGGATCACAGCTAGAAGCCACCTGAAGCAGGAAAGTCAATGAGACTCTGGGAGACCCTTTTTTCTCCAAGTTAGCTAGGCTGCCCAGAGTCAGAAAGATTTCTGGAAAGACAAGTAAATAAAACTGCCAGCCCTAGCAAACAAGTAGAGCTAAATATGCTGAAATCTCCAGCTATAACAAGAAAGTAAAGAAACATTTTCAACTTTGGGATGGAGCTTTAGGGTGGGCCCATCTTCTGATGAACCACAAATGTGAGTAATTAAATAGGCAGAGTTGACTTTTCAGTGGATTCTAGACAGACATGCCAGCCCTCTGGTATCCTGTGGTCTCATAAGCAGACTCATATACACAATTCTGATGGCTCCCATAATGTATATTGTTGGGAGTTACCCAAGACCCATAAAACCCTGTATTCATCCAATGGTATGGTCTCTCATTATGGAGCAAAACATGATGTACTGATATCAGGCAATCTCAAAAACAAGAACAAAAAACACCAATAAGCAGAGCACTGGTAGATCATTCCTGTAATCCTAGCTACTCAGGGGGGCTGAGATCTAAGGATCAAGATTCAAAGCCAGCCCAGGTAGGAAGTGAGACTTATCTCCAATTAACCACCAGAAAACTGGAAGTGGTGCTGTGGCTCAAAGTGGTAGAGCACTAGCCCTGAGTAAAAGATCTCAGGGACAGCACCCAGGCACACACATGACGCTCGTGTGCACACACACACCAATGAAGACTGATAATACAGCAGGCATTCATCAACAGATCAAGGCCAGCTGACCCCACCTCCTAAGGTGACACTAAATTCAAATCCTAAGACCTTCTTTATAGCTCAGAGCACTAATCCTATCACTCACAGAGAGCTGTCTTCTCTGATGAGAGAGATTTAAAGTATGGGTATCCAGTTGTCATCCCAACAACCCAGACCTTAAAAAAAAAAGCTAGTGGATTAGGGGCCCTTTGATAGAGGAAGGAGGGCTCAGTTTTACCACTCTCTGACATAAGAAGCAAAGTCAAGTCAAGGCTCAAGTTAAATCGCTTGGGAAACCTGAGTTCTGATCACAGCAATGGGGTTGCTTAGCTGGGTCACTTCTACAAGTTACTTCCCTCCCATTTCCCTTCTTTAGGGACAATAATACAAGCAACATCAACAGTAACCACAGCAACCACTTTCTTAGTACTTTCCATATGGCAGGCAGGATAGAGCCAAACTTTACCCTTCCAGAGTTTTCAGAAAAGATCTCTATTGAAAAGGGTAAGAATTGCTATCCGTCAATGACTTTCATGGGTATTCAATGGCAGGAATCAATATAATACAATAAATACCTGGCATGCTCCAAATGGAACTAGCTAGCATCACTCTCAGTCCAAGCCAACATTATATCAGCAATGAATACATGAACTGACGTCTTTTTCAGTATTGTCCCAGAAGCAGTGGGAAGAGGACTCAGGCTTTAGCCCTCTGGGCAACTTGCATGACTATCTGTCTCTAGAGGCTGGAAACCTGTTTGCTATGAGATCTTTCTGGACAGCAACTAGGCAGGAGTCATATATGTGGTCATGCCCATTGACCCAGGAACGCCACCTTGGGGAATATGAACCAAGCAATATTTTAAAAGAAAAATGAAAAGCCAGGTGCCAGTGGCTCATGCCTGTAATCCTAGTTACTCAGAAAGCTGAGATCTGAGGATCACAGTTCAAAACCAGCTCAGGCAGGAGAGTCCATGAGATGCTTATCTCTAACAAACCAAAAAAAAAAAAAAAAAAGCTGGAAATGTAGCTGTGGCTCAGGTGGTAGAGCCCTAGCCTTAAGTGAAAAAGCTGAGGGACAGTGTCCTGATTTCAAGTCCCAGGACCAGCAAACACAAAAGAAAAGAAAGAAAAAGAAGAATCACACAATGTAAATTGTGGTGGTCTAAAAAAAGGCTGTCAGCAGCGCACAGCCCCACCAGTAGAGGAAAGGAAACCATTCCTGCAATGCCAGGGCAATGGAGGCCTGAGGCCCTGAATGGTTTCAGGAATGAAAATTACAAGGACCAAGTAGAAAAATGTAAAGGTGGCCTTTAGCACTGTCCAGCTTGGAGAATGAGATACCCAAGCCCAGAGCACTAAAGCAAAGCCATGCTGGACACAGCTGCTGCTGTATAAATAGTTGGTCAATTAGGCAGCCCAGAGTTTTTTCTGAATTGTGGTTTCTTTTTTCTTCCTTTTTTTCTTTTTTAAGAGATTCTATGTCATGTTTGGATACTCCTGGTTTACTTTAAGTTTCTTTGCTCAGTTAATTAAATAAATACACACTTTTTTAAACAAAGAAGAATAGATCCAAGTTGAGACCTTGAGATTCATTCCTCAGAAGAGGAAAGAGTTCCAGAATTCTGAGGTTCTCCAACATAAGGAAAGAACCCCCCCCAAAAAAAGACAACAGCTTCCCCCACCCCAAGCTCCCCTCTGCAGAGACACCAGCCCTGGGAGGAGAGGCCTGCGGAGTCTGGCTGGGTAGCAGCAGCTGCCTAGGCCCAGGAAGCAGGAAGCGGCTCTACCTGCTAGGACAGGTGTGGGGGAGGGCAAGGCTGCCAGGCGGCTCAGCCCAGAGGGAACCCCTTTTGCACCGGAGAAAGTCCCAGCAGCCACACCCTTTTTTGACTGGAGTCCTTTCTTTCTGGCTGTAGTGGTTAGAATGACCTGGTTTCCTCAGGAAGAGACCCCAGCCCCAGGTCAGTATTTCCCCAGAAAGACAAACTCTAACTCTCTCTCTCTTTCTCTCTCTCTCTCTCCCTCTCTCTTTATCTCTCTCTCTCTCTCTCTCACACACACACACTATACATAATTGCACATTCACACTGCACATCTACTCTTTAAATATACAGAGTACATTCATACAGTGCGCTCCTACATGCCTAGTGTATGTGTGCTGACAATGGACACACATGAACATACATTATATTGTCCCTAGTATAACAAGCCCCAACCTCAGCCTCAGTGACCCTCTCAGAAGCCCTCAACTACCCCAGGTCATAAGAGAGACCGCATCCCCATTCTTGCTCCTCGGTGCAGGGCGTGGGGGGGGGGGAGCCAGGGGGGGGAAGAGGTGCCACAAATCCAACTCCCCTTCCCCTCTCAGGAAGATTATGAGGGTGGGGGGGAGGGGGAGAGGAAAACAAACTCCCAATTGTCTCCAATTGTCTGGCCCCTACTCGTGTGACCTTGGATAAGTCAACTCTCCGGACCTGCCATCTGTAAAAGGGGTCTCAGGCCCCCTCCGCCGCTGAGATGACTGCGATGAACCTGGAAGACGGTAGAGTGGCCAGCTGGGCTCTCCACCGTGTGTGTGTGTGTGTGTGTGTGTGTGTGTGTGTGTGTGTGTGTGTGTGAAGGGTGGGGGGGTTAATGACTACTTCACACCACCTCCGAGTCTCCAAACCATCCCAGCCAGCGGCGAGCAGCGCAGGCGGCGCGCGGGAGCCGGGAGGACACACCTCCGCGATCCGCTCCGCAGCGCGTCCCCTCGCCCTGCCCGACGGCGGGGGCGCGCGCCAGCTCCCGTCCGCACCCAGGCGCGGAGGTCCCCGGCGGTGAACGCTCCCTCCCGGGTCTCCGCGGCCCGACTCCGAGCCAACGCCCATTCAGGGGCAGCCAGTGCACAGGCCCGGGTGCACCCCACGAGTCCTCCGGGACCCGCCCACGGGGACGAACCACAGACCCGGGTCCCGATCTCCCCCAGCCCAGGCGCCCCAGGCGCAGAGAGAACGCACGTCTCCATCCTCGCCCTCGGGTACCCCACAGCTAACTCCAGGACGCACGGCGGGGGGCGCAGCCCAGGGATGGCACCGGGGGTGGCACCTGAGTCCTTAGATTCCCCAGTCCCCATGGTGACTCCCCAGGCCTGGGCGGGGCGGTGGGGCGCACCGCAGGGAGACCCCGCGTGTGGCGGGGGCGCACGGGCGGGAAGACGGCCCCCCCCGCCGGTGCCAGGGCTGGCCCAGGGCGCTCACCGATGGACACGAGCTTGATGCTCTCGTGGTCCAGGAACTCGAGCGCCACGGACACGTTCTCCAGCTGCATCTGGCGGAAGGTGGGCCGCTGGTGGTACTTGCGGTACATGCGCTTCTGGCTGAGCACCTCGAGCAGCGCGATGAGCCGCAGCCCGTCGCTCAGGTCGGTCTGCAGGTTCCCGATGCGCTTGTTCACGCACTTCAGGTGCTCGTTGCACCAGCGCGTGAACGTGTTCTGTTGGATCTTCTTCCACGGCGCGTCCTCCGCCAGGTCCTTCTCCGTCACCGGCATCCTGGCGGCAGGGAGAGAGCGCTAAGCGCAACGAGCTGACGGGACGGGTGTCCGAAGGCCCACAGGCCAAGGGAGAGAGAACCAAAGCGGAGCGGGAGTAGGGCTCGAACTCGCTGCTACCAGAGCCGCGGCCGGAGCTGCTCTGAGGTCGCCCGACCCAAAGCGCGAGAGGCGCCTGGCCCCGCGCCTGCGCGCTGCGACGCCCCGCCCTCCAGAGCCCCGCCCCGTCCGACCCCAGAGCTAGAACTCCCTGGCCACGCTCGCCCCCTGCCTCCCGAAGAGGGCACTGCGCCCAGGGTCTCCGACGTGTCCCGGGGCCTCTCTTCCTTCCCACTACCACCCCAGCAGGGTATCTTTTCTTTCACTCCTTTTTTGGTTCCGAGAGCCACGCCTCCACTCCCAGCGTGGGTCCTAGGGCTTGAACTCAGGGTTAGAGCACTGTCCCTGAGCTTTTTAGCTCAAGACTGGCACTCTACCACTTGGAGCCACAGCTCCATGACCAGCTTTTGCTGCATAACTGGAAATAAGAACCTCAAGGACTTTCTGTCCAGGTTGGCTTGGAACCATGATCCTCAGATCTCAGCCTCCTGGGTAGCCAGGATTACAGGCGTGAGGCACCAGCATCCAGGCCACTTTCAGCTTTCTGATGGTTAACTGGAGATTGATTTCTCAGATGCTCTGCCTGGCTGGCTTCCAACCAGGATCCTCAGATCTCAGCCTTCAGAACATGATTGAGGAGTGAGCCACTGCTTCCCCACTAGGATATCTTCCTTAAGGAGAAAGTCACCGGAACAATCCTAGAATAAGAAGGCAAGCTGAGGCAGGGGTAATAAAATGGGCAGGGACTGTGATGCTTAGATGGCATTGCTGGGGAGCATTCATCATCCATTTATAGGTTACGATAAACTTATTTTTTTAATTTTTTGTCAGTCATGGCGCTTAAACTCAGGGCCTGGGTGCTGTCCCTAAGCTTTTTCACTCAAGGCTAGCACTCTACCACTTTGAGCCACGGCACCACTTCCAATTTTGTGTCGGTTAATTGGAGATAATAGTCTATAGGACTTTCCTGCCTGAGCTGACTTTGAAACACAATCCTCAAATTTCAGTCTCCTGAGTAGCTAGGATTGCAGGCTTTATGTTCATCACTGAAAGCTAAGGCTGGAGGAAAGATTTGGGATAACCTGGGTCCAGAGAAGGGGCTCTTAACCTAGGTTTGGAGGAAAGAGTGTAGTGCCTGGCTCAATAAGGACTCAATGATGATTTAAATTCTCATTCCCCCCATTAGTGCTTAAGCAAAGCAATTTGCTGGAGGCCAGCTGGTAAAGACTAAACACTGTTATACTGTTCCCCAGAGTCCCCTAATCCCTTGGAATTAGCCTTTGTCCCCATGAGGACTCATCACTCCCCTCCCCCTCAGCAGATTTACTGAAGGCAAAGTTGGAAATCTCAGCTTCCCCTCAGGCCCAAAGCTCAGTTTCACATACTTTGCTCTATCCAAACACATCCAGCAAAACTTATCAGCGAGAGGGATCAACTCAGCCCAGTCAACAGGCTACTTATGGGGTAAGATTCCTCTATAAATATCATTTTCAAAGAAAAAGATAAAAGTAATCATAGTAACCCAGGATGAAGGCATTTCTTGAGATGCAGGTCTTTCAGTGCTAAAAGCAGGAGAACCCCTGGCAAACCAGAACCTCCAATACATGCACAACACCATCATGTCAACAAGCAATCAATATTTGCAAATGCTTTCAAGTTTCTTCTCCTTTGGTTCTTTCAAATCTGATGTGTGCTTCCTTCCCCTCTCCCCATTTTTTTTCTCTAGTACTGGGGTTTGAACCCTGGGTCTAGGTGCTATCTCTCAGCTTTTTTCCAGTCCAGGCTCTACCACTTGAGCCATAGCTCCACTTTTAGCTTTTTGGTGGTTAATTGGAGATAGGAGTCTCCCTGACTTTCCTGCCTGAGGCTTTGAACTTGGATCCTCAGCTCTCAGCCTTCTATGCAGCTAGGATTACTGGTGTGAGCCAGCTGCACCTGGCTCAGTGTGTACTTTTTTTTGTTTGCCTGCTTGTTTTTGCAGGGCTGGGGACTGAAGTCAATGTCTGAAGTGATGTATATGTTCTGCTTATTACATGTATCACCTCTGAACGGTCACCTCATCTGCTAGTGGCTATCATAGTGGATAGTGCAGGGATAGAAACACTTGATGGTGAATAAGCCAGTTCGTAAGTTGGAGATGTGCAGTACATGTCTAGAGTCCTGACCGTGGGGCTTCTATCCCTGTCTGTGAAATCCACCTCTGGAACTTCAGTGTATGAGGGACCTCCCAGGAGAATCTCAATTCTCTGCTATCTTGGGGTTTACTACTATTATAACATATTAGGATATTGATAATACTTTAAAATAGCAGTAATAATAGAGCCAGACCTTGGTAGCTCACATCTGTAATCCTAGGTACTCAGGAGGCTGAGATCTAAGGATTAAGGTTCAAAGCTGGTTCAGGCAAAAAAGTCCCAGAGAGTCTTATCTCCAATTAACCAGCAAAAAACTGGAAGTAGAGCTGTGGTCCATGTGGTAGAGCACCAGCCTTGAGCAAAAAGGCTAAAGAACTGCTCCCAGGCCCTGATTTCTAGCCCAAATACTGGTATACTCACACACACACACACACACACACACACACACACACACACACACGAAAAAGAAGCTACCACCTTGGGAGTGCTGGCATTATCTCATTCAGTGTTCACATACCCCTAGGAGGTATGATTGTTCCCATTTTTAGGTGAGGAAATTGAGGCAGGCAGAGGTAGTTCTATGCTTAAGGTCACTAAGCAGCAGAGCACAGATGTGAAGCAAGGCCGTAGTCATGATTTAGTACCGGGGCCTGGGGCTGGGAATGTAACACAATCATAAAGCCCTCTACTAGTGGGGTAGGAAAGGGGGTCTTAAATTTGATTCCCAGCTCTAGAAGATGGAAAAAATTAAAGCAGATACATGAAGCTCCAGGACTTTGCTTCTGTCCCCCAAATGACCAGCTGGAACAACACTGAACAAAGTACACTAGTGTGAATCAGTGAGAAACAGCTAGAGCATGCAGCATAGAAATGCCCTCCGAAGGGCTGCTGCAGCTATATCATAATTACCCAAAAAACCTGGGCTGAAAGCTGCACATCCATTGATACGTATTGACTTTAGTTGGTTTTGAGGTCTGGGGATCCAGCCCACGGCCTAGTGAGAGCTAAGGTTGTTGGGCTCTCTATCATTAAACTCCATCCCTGACACCAAGTTCCAGAGGGTGAAGCCCTCTTTCCACAGGGAACAAAGATAAGATAAGGGAACCTGGCCTTGCAAAACCACTGGCCTTCTCTGCAGGGTGGAGTTCCAGGCCTCTTTGCCCCAGGGTGGGGCCTTCCTAGTGGTAATTTTACTCCACTGTCCACACCCTGTTGGCAAGAAAGGAAAGCAAAATCTATCCTAAAATATTTGCTCAGCCTCTCCCCCCCAGGGAAGGAAGCCCATACCCCTAGCAACTCACTGGAAAGGTGACAGTACACACACACACACACACACACACACACACACACACACACACACACACACACCGAGAGAGCTCTAATACTGGCTGTGGGGACCTAAGCCCAACTAGGTCCTTGCATGGAGAAAGCTGCTCTGTGGGAAGGGGAGGAGGGTGCTGGGAGAGCAAGCCTTCCCAAAGAAAGCTGATAGAGTCTGAAGTTCCAAAGGATCCTGCCAGCCTGGCCCTGAGATAAGATGGAGGTTGCTGGCAGGCATGCTTCTTAAAGAAGGCATTGGCTCTCTCACCCCAACTTTTCCACTACCAGCCCAAAAGCTAAGGTAAGGCATTTTGTGAGTATGGTGTGTCAGTAATAGGGCTTGAATTCAGGGTCTTGTGCACTTGCTTGGCTTGGTTGCTTAGAGCTGGCACTCTACCACTTGAGCCATACCTCCAGCCCACCTTTTTGCTTGTTAATGGAAGATGATGTCTCATGGACTTTTCTGCACAGCTGGCTTCAAACAGCAACACTCCAGATGGCAGCTTCTTTACTAGCTAGGACTTTGTGCATGAGCCACTAGTGTCCGGCTGTATAGTTGTTTGTTTGAGACAGAGTCTTGATATGTAATCCAGGCTGGACTCAAACTCCTAATTCTCCTGATCCTCCCACTTCAACCTCCCAAGTACTGGAATTCCATGCCTGCATCACTATGCCTGACTTTGAGAGAGCACATAAGCACCTTAACAACAATCATCTTTTAAAAACTTTTTCTCGGGCTGGGAATATGGCTTAGTGGTAGAGTGCTTGCCTAGAATGCATGAAGCCCTGGGTTTGATTCCTCCGTACCACATAAATAGAGAAAGCTGGAAGTGGTGCTGTGGCTCACGTGGTAGAGTGCTAGCCTTGAGAAAAAAGAAGTTCAAGGACAGTGCCTGGGCCCTGAGTTCAAGCCTCAGGACTGGCCAAAAGACATTTTTTTTCCCTCAAGAATGATATGAGGGGCTGGGAAAGTAGCTCAGTGGTAGAGTGCTTGCCTTGCATGCATGAGGCCCTGGGTTCAATTCCTCAGCACCACATAAGCTGGAAGTGGGGCTGAGGCTCAAGTGGTAGAGGGCTGGTCTACAGCTGAAGAGCTGAGGGCAGCGATCAGGCCCAGAGTTCAGGCACCATGACCGACAAAAAAGAAAGAAAGAATGAATGAATGATATGAAAGCCATGTGCCAGTGGCTCACACCTGTAATCCTAGCTACTCAGAAGGCTGAGATCCCAGGATTGTGGTTCAAAGCCAGCACGGGCAGGAAAGTCCTTGAGACTCATCTTCAACTAGTCACAGAAGTGGTCATATAGCTCAAATGGTAAAGGAGTATAGGGACAGCACTCAGGCTCAGAGTTCAAGGCCCAGGCCTGACCAAAAGAATAAATATAGCCAGGCACCGGTGCTCATGCCTATAATCCTAGCTACTCAGTAGGCTGTGATCTGAGGATCACAGTTCAAAGCTAACCCTGGACAGGAAAAGGTCCATGAGACTCTTTTTTGGGGGGAGGGATGGGGGGTCAGGTCATGGGGCCTGAACTCTGGGCCTGGGCGCTGTCCCTCAGCTCTTCAGTT